CATATACTGATATTGGCAAGACATGATTCATCTGACGTTATGTTAAAGTGAATCATGTTTACAAGTACAATCATGCAATGATGCCAGTTTAAATTTGGAGCAGTATTGTTTTGATCAGAAAGCGCTTTTTCAAGTATTTAATCATTTTTTATATAATTCAGTCAGTCAATGCATGGTGTTTGGAGTGTCATTGTTATGGCTAATATTAAAGCTTTATTTAGACATTGGATTTATTTTTATATTTTTCAAATTGAACACCCTTTTTCTTAGTTTAAATGAGAAAAGTAGACTTGTAGCCTTTGCTTGTGACACCAATGTCAGCCATAAAACCAACTTAAAGACTAAATATTAAGCTTTTTTTTGGGGCTAAAGAAAAGGAAAATATTGTGAAACGAGTATCATAGGTAAACAATGCCATCAACCTGCCCTCTCCCTATACTACCAACAGAAGGAGGGGTTAAATTAGATTTGTTATTTTCCAGATTTGAAAGTTACCAGCTGTAAATACAGCCATGCGTTGTAAAGAACATAATTTGATCTGTGAAATTTCCACATTTACAGGTTCTACTTTTGTTTTAAAAGGCAGAAAACTGCTCTGAGCGTGAAGTCACAGTGGTATAATGACATCACACTATAACAAGAATGAGACGGAAACTTTTAGACAGAAGGAGCACAGTTACGTGTTTGTGTTTATCTTAACTTATCCTGCAAAATTAAAGCTCAAAAACAGACTTTTATATATATATATATATATATATATATATATATATATATATATATATATATCTCATTTAAGACATTTTGCTGAATAATAATTTGCTGCTGAGAGGAGGACTGAGGGAGGGGCTGACAGGAGGCTCCAGCTATACCCCCTCTCCCTCTTCACACATCCAGTCATTAGCTCTCCACCGCAGGCACACACACAGCTCCTGCCTTTCTGGATCTCAGACTCGGATGGCGCAGCGTTGACATTCAAATCCTCAGACAGTTTGGGGACTAAACTTCCGGAGTGGAGGGCTCCGGCGGTGATTAGAAAAGATCCACTGAGCTGATGCTTGCAGACATGAATCTAGCGTTCTTGATGACTGCACAACTGGCTTAAGGAAATCTCCATTGGAAATTTGTTTGGAAAAATAGCTTGAGAGACAGATGCAGTTCCTGGAGGTAAGAGGGGAAATCATTGCTAATTTAACACAGTTTGACATTTGAAACTTTACGTGTATTAGGGTTTAACATGTTGAACTAATACTGATTATTCAAAGCAAAGCCCTGGTTGAGAAATCAGAATGGATGCCTATTTTTGTGGCCAACTGTTTTCCATCAGGAAGTCTTGGACGGGACACAAGTAGAAAATCTGACTTAATCCAGATGTATTTTTTTAGCCTTAACATTCAGGAAGCAATGTTGTTTGGATTGAGATAAAGATGCATACTGTGTTTGAGAAAGGCCCCCTGATGTTTTCTGAGTGCCGTGATAAGGCTGCGGTGTCCCATACATTACTGGTTGGTTATTTAACAGTTACTTATTTAATGGTTCCTTATTTAATGGTTGATCATTTATTGTGAATGTGGCAAACACTTGATACAAGGGCCCTAAGTGCATCAGGGTCCTCCCAGCTGTGCAAGCTCTGGCACACCCCCTGACACCCATTTGGCCCTAGAATAACACTTTTTTTCACCAGTGCAAGCGAATGGCCCCAGTCTTTGAACTTAGAAAATACCAAAATGTCATTGAAAAAACAAGCCCTGGTTCATGGCTTATTTATGTTACAATTTTTTTTCTCGAGATTATAAGAACAGGTATGGTCCCTTTTTCAGCAAGTAGAAATGTACCTTTATAAATATGTTTTCTAGTTGTGTATTGTAGACAGTGGTGGAAAAGACAGCAAAAGTTGGATTTGTAGGTGAACTGTATCTTTGTTGAACTGGACTGAAAAGTAAAGATGTCTTGCTTTTTGTGTTTGACACCTGTTGACTTCTTTCTATTTTTTTAAGCAACCAAGCAGAAACTCTCAGAACTATTATAATTATATGCACACTTGACAAAATAACTAAAGTAACTATAAAACAATGTTGCTATAAACAGTTAATTAAACCTTTTCCAGCCTTTTAACTAAAATAAATATATGATCAATATTCTGCTAATGTCCTCCATCTTGTATAGCTCGTCATTTTGGGAGTTTTCTCATGAATCTTGATAACTTGTTTATTTTTTAAATGTTCAATGAATGCACATTTTGGTCGAGTAGGAGTCCATTGACTGATCAATCAACAAAAATGTCTATTAGCTCAAAAATAGATGTATGAAACTTGGAGGTTAGTCCAAGGTTGTGTCCAAATATTTGGGGAAAACAGAAATTTAAATGAAGAAATGGGTCATAATAATGCGTTTGATGAAAATATTTGTGCAATTCAGTATTTTGTTTGCTCTAAATTATTGTCATTTTTCAAACTTGTTTACTTGTTTGATTTTTCCGGCAGAAAAAAACTATAATTCAAAAGGGTGTTAATGGCAACATTGTTATTACTACACACACTGGGCACTTTCCAATGTGGTTTTGATCTGCAAATGAAAAATGAACTGAATCTTTAACTAAAATATATATTTTAGTTGTTGTTTGATGAACTTCAGTCATTTGCTCCCTGCCTTTAAATCACATCATTAAAACTTCAACTTCCATAAAAGTGTCAGATAGTCGGGGGAGGACTCGTGGTTAACCGTTAGCTCACTACATCTGGCCTCTGTTTACGCAGCCTGAATGTTGTCACTCTTTAAATGCTCTTTTTGAAACTTCTTTGCCCCCAGCCCTCCTCCTGGGCTCTCCGCGACCGCAGCAGGTTCAATGCTGGGGATTGAGCGGACACTTCACACAAAGAAGCCTATTGTGTTATTGCCGGTCGGTGACATACTGTAATGTGAGCGCCTGCGTGTGCGTCGGCTCAGGAATCTGCAGTCACCTTTCCACCGCATGTTTTTAGGGATGAGAGCGAGGGCACCAGATAAACAGGAGCTTTGAAGACTGGTTTTGGTCTCGCTGATGGACTGGTTCGGGGTATCAGGGACTGCGCGAGTGAGTGGTCTGAGAATTAGGCTTGGTGAGATAGCAGAACAGGTAAAGAAAAGTGTGTGGGTGATAACATTATCTGCTCAGCCATAAAACTTGTTAGATTAGTCACTAGAGAACAAAGCCAGCACAACATACCCTCTTTGTCCCGTGATAAGAGCAGCCCCTTTTGAGTTGTATCTGCATTTCTGAGCAGTGTTTTGGGCCCTCTGGTCTCATTGAACTATATGCAAATAAGGGAATGCTAATATTTCCCTTTGTTGTAACAGTGCTTAGCTACAACTTGATCAGTGGGATGCCCTGAGGATGAATGATGACCTTTTCAAGGCAAAGAGTGACTTTGCTAAACTTTCTGTGTTTCCTCAAGCTAAAGGTCATAGAGCTGTGTGCTTTTAAACAGGACAGCACATGCAACATCTAATTTTGATCATTTTAATATTACTCAAAGGTGTTTTAGAGTGATTGGGGTAAAATGAGGAAAGGGCAACTCTGTTTAGAAGGGTTCACATCAAATCAGTCTAATTGTTTCTTTAGTGAAGATTTGTAAGATCTTTTGTTTATTTCAAAATGTTTATTTTATGGTTGATCACAAACACTGTGAAGACAAAACAAGAAACATCCACAAAAAGAACATAATAGGCAGAGTGTGTCTATAAATCTATAAGATCCCCTTCAAATACAGTACTTATAATAATGGAGAATTTATCGATCCATCTAATCAAAGAAAAGTAGAGAATGAAACGATTGGGTCTTTGACTGTAGTAAAGTGCACTACTAAGTTTATAAGTACTTTTAGATCTATACTGAAATTATAAATGTAAAAAAAATGGTTATAGATCTTTTCTGAATCACATCATGGCTTCTGACATGTGTTTTTACATAGATTCAATTGGTGTCCAGCACTAATGATGATGGCCCATTACGGCCTGCATTGTCTTCTGGCAAGGCAGCACTTTGTAACTGTATAAACCAAACACACTTTGTATACATTCTATTCACATGTGAAAGGGGCACACTAGAGTATAGGTATTCCCTGCAGAGACGATCATTCATGTTCTTCGTACCCACTACCCAAAATAAGTCAAGACGTTTGCAAAATCCTAACCATGCTGTGGTTTTTATAATGTATATGCAACAACTAGATTTCAATTCGATTTCTGCTGACGTGTTGTTTTGGCGTAACTATTTTTTGCACTGAGTTGCACAATAGGCCATCCTTTGGTCAACCTAAACCATCTTAAATAGTCATAATCATAAGAAGCCAGAATCTAACTTTAATTGGTGCACACTGGGGTAGTCTTGCACAGTTTTGCCAATGTGGTTTTACTGCAAATTCTTTTATCTTGAATCTAAACCTTGGCAAATTCAGGGAAGACTTTTGATACTTGATAGAAAATTTATGTTTGATCAGATGCGATTTTTTTGGCCTTTTCTGGTCTTAAGTCGAAAATACAGCTATAAGATGGATACAAAAGTGCCCCATGCTCGATAAACTTTCCATGACTTACTATTATCCAACATTCAACAGAAGCATTTAGAGCTTACTTCTGCCACTTAAGTCATTTGATTATAACGGATTGAGTGAAGGATAAACAAAGCTATAATATACCTCTGTAATGACCTGGAAAACAACTTGCCGGTTATTTTAAGAACGCCCCAAGCCGTTTAAAGACATAAAACAATGCCAGTGGTGTGATGGGGCAGAAGGAGCCATTGTTGTCTACTCATTTCCAGGACAGCTTTGTTACCACAACACCATCAAATCAACAATTACCTTTGGCAGAAACATGGATTACAGCTAATTGAACGATTAAAGGTGCATTTGGCAGTAAATCCTGAATTGTCTAAACCAATCAGGCGTTTTGGACCCGTTTATGAGGAAGGACAGCGGTCTGACTGTTTCTGTTTTGCATTTGTTCTGCAGCGGTCGCGACTGATGAACCTGGAGTGCATCAACAGAGGGGAGCGTCCTGCGCCCCGTGGCCCAGATATGGACTCTCACGTGGGGGGGAAGATGGGGAAGATGTCTGCGGGGTTTCAAAGGAGCTCCACTTCGGATGACGACTCTGGGTGTGCTTTGGAGGAGTACTCGTGGGTGCCACCGGGGCTGAGGCCAGAGCAGGTAAATTACACTCAAAACTACATGGTTTTGTGTAATCTTACTCTTGATGTTCCTACAGTTGTGCTTGGAAATATATGAATGAGAGTGTGTTTATCCCACACTGGGGAAATGTCAGTGGTGCATCACACGACGGACAGTAAGAATGAAGAATGCACAAAATACATATTGATAGCTGTAAATGGTTCTTTAGCTTAACTTTTGACATCTAAAATAAAAAACATAAATATATCTATACAAAAAAAAAATATTTAAAAAAATGTTAGTTGAACCTATGAATCAGTGGCAGAAACAAAAATGTAAAAAATCATACAAAATTCATCTTTAGTTAAAAACATATATATCTTTGAAAAATCTTTTAAATAATGGTTCTACTGTACATTTACCATCCGAATAAAAAACCTCTCTCAGAAAGTTTGCAGGATGATTAAATAAATACAGAGGTTTCACATTTTACACTTTTTTGGAGATTTTATGGATGAGTGGTGTGTACAGAGTTCTCATTGTACAGTCTGACAGCAGCTTTACACACTCAACCAGAGATGTCATTGTTTTGGCTTTATATTACAACTTATAATTATGGTCAAAAGTAGTTCCTGTTGCCATTATAATTTGAAAATATAAAACCTGTTTATTTGGCTTTTAAATACTCACTACATGCAGTGAGGGAAAAAGTGTGTTATCATCATAATGGCCAGGCAAGGCAAGTTTATTTGTATAGCACAATTCATACACAAGGCAACTCAAAGTGCTGAACAAGAAAGCATTAAAATCATAAAATAATCACTGAAATATGGCCATTTTTCTCTGACATTTCTGCCAGGGTGTTTAACCTTCCAAGCTTTCATTCCCAACTGTAAATGCACATAAAGCGTGTTAAGAAAATGTTAATCCAAGCATGAGATTGTGATCGCAAAGGGGGGATTAGAGTTTCTGACACCACACGCTGCAGTTCACATGAGGTTGTGTACATTCCGTTACCTGTGGATTGTGCAGTTTGTCACTATCTGGCTCTTTTTTCTTTACATCCTAATTATTGTTTATGCTCAAGGATTTAAAACAGTTGGTTTGGCTTTCTGCGCATGTGAATGTGAATAAGCCTCTATAACATGTTTACATTCCCATGCCATCGCTCATATGTAGTATACGGTATTCACCAACGTGGGCAGAGCAGCAAAAGAGTTCTGGTATTCTGAAAAAATAATACACTTTTTTTAGATTCTGAAAACATGTTAAAGGGATCATATGCACAATTATTGCTCATACTAATTAATTTATTTTGTACAACTACTACACAGCCCCCTGCTATTACTTTGTCACAATAAATAATGAAAAAATACAACATATATAACATCTATTTCTTTGCAGATCCAAATGTATTTTTCAAGTCTACCTGAAGAAAAAGTTCCATATGTGAACAGTCCTGGAGAGAAGCACCGCATTCGACAGCTCCTGTACCAACTGCCACCCCACGACAACGAGGTAATTATCTTTAAAAGTACCCATCTAAAGCAAAAAAAACAAGCTTTCTCTTGGAAAAATTAAGAAAAAACATATAAATACTTACACTACATTCAACCTACAAAAATATGTATAGCTATTTCAAGGCGCCTGGAATAAGTTGGTCATTTACAGCCTCTGCATTAAAGGTTTAGCCAAGAGAGCGCTGCTTCTCCTTGTAAAATCAAACAAAGGCGCATTCCCTCTGTCACTTGACAACCCCCTTGTGCTGCAGTAAAATCTCCTGCCTTACTCCTCTTCATAAAGGATTTACGATTTGTAAGCAAAGCAGCACTCCTTTCACATGTCTTAATAGAGTTTACATTAGCAGATATGGCCTTGGGGTTATCACCAGTGGGGAGGAACAGAAAGGCTACTGTCCGCAGGGGGTGGTCTCTGTATGCACACTTGTATACACAATATTATACCCACAATATATGATGTACACACACTTGTACACGCAATATATGATGTGCCCACACAGCTGAAGCACTTTTATGATGCTTGAGTGAAGTGCAGGTGGTTGAGGATCTAACTGGTCCAGTCAAAATAGAAGATTTTGGGCTCAAAGAGTGAATAAAGTGCAATAGTATTTTTTTCATCTTCATTTATACAAGGTGTCCAGAACAACATACCGTTAGTCAAATTCTTAAGAAATTCTGGTTGGTTAGGTGACAGCCACACCTGAATTGGCAAACGTAACACACTGGTTTATGTATTACATGTTTCGCAGGAAATTTGTTTGTTTTTGAATGGGCTTAACACTAATCCAACATGTCCAACTCATCATGTAGGAAGTGGACGTGATTCTGCAAGACTTCATTTTGCTCGGACAAGTTAATTTGAAAATGAGTTTTCCGTTTCATTGTGATTAGCCTAAAGAAATCAGCCTATTTAGATTTAGTTTCTAATTGTATTTTAATTGTTTTTCAAAGAGTCTTGAAAAAAAAAGGTTTTATTTAAAAACCTATAAAAGACAATTTTACAAAACAAAATTGGATGAAGAAAATGCCTATAAATAACTCCAAGTCTCCCTCACCCACTCAACACTGAGGGTCTACTTCCTCCAACCCCTTTTCATAACGTTTATTGTATCTTGTTTTTGTGAATATGTTCATACAATTTGAACTCAATATTTAGATTAATTTTTAATTGATTTATTTATTTTTGTATATATAAATAGCCCTAAATCACAAGAGCAGTCATAAAAGCCCATGTCCTGGATGGCCCCTGTCCCTAGACTCCATACATATTTTGTGTATTTGTCTAATCATATTGGCACAGAAATCATAAAGAAAACAAATTACCCTACAAGTAATTATTTGCACGTTTAGCATATTGCTCTGGACACCTCATAGACATGATCTCTGGTGAAAAAATGTGTTTGCAATTTGTTGATCTCAAAACGCTATTCTTCCAGCTCTGGAGGTTTTGCTTGCTCCCTTGCATGTCTGCAGTGAGAATAAATAAGCAGTGAGTATGTGTGGAAGCCTGAGAGTTTACTTTTGTTTAGAGCCAAACGATGGCGGTTGTTAGGATAGTTTCGCTCTTTATCAGAGACATCATCGCCGCCTCTAAAACACCAGGGACGCTGCCGCCATCCTTTCAACACAGCCTTGGGGCGGATTACCTCTAATTAAACCCTTCCCAGCCCTGTGTGGACCTGGTAACGTGCAGAAAAGTCAGGTCGCACGCCAAGATCAAAGCAAGATTTTAGGAATTCACCAAAATATTCCACTTAACATAAATAACGTGGCACTTTTTGTTCAGTTTTAGTGCTGTAAATTAATTTCAGAACTTGTTGATTGATAAAAGTAGGTTGAATTTTGGTAATAATGACATGGTACAGATACAAGAGTTCAACGTTAAAAGGCTATAGTGAAATACTTTTCTTTGTCTCATTTTCTCAAGACCCGCATTTATACCTCCAAAAAACTCCACAAATATGTATAATGAAAAGATAACTCCTAAGCTATTTGAACAGGTGTGAAATAGATCAAAAATGCATTAGTATGTAGGCACAAAGCACTACTACACGTTAGAGCTGGGGTTGCTACTTTTATCAGATAAGATTTTTCAAGCAGAAAAGTGAACAAGAGAGGACAACCATCATTCCAACCAATTAGCTGTCAGCCTAAAGAATGAAATAGGGCTTTTAATTTCAAATAGGCAAACGATAACTTTTTCTAATCGTACAGCTGCCTCCATCCATCCATTTTCCTCCGCTTCATCCGTTGCCAGCTGCCCCCACACTCCCACAACCCATCAGAAACTCACACTCACAACAGAACTTTAAATCACTTCTCAAAACCCACCTGTTTCACCTTGCCTTTCCAAAACGTTGTTCTTCAATGTTTATTTTTGTATGTTTTGTAAAACGTCTTTGAGCGTCCAAAAGATTGCTATATAAGTGTGATGTATTATTATTATCATTATGTTGTGGTCTGATTTGCTTTCAGTTGGGAAAAAAAAAAATCAGTTTCATCAGACGTCTGAAACTGTGGATGAACTCGGAGCAATTAGTTATTTTTATGTTTGTCCAATGTGTGTGTATTTATGTCTTAAAAGCCTCCCATGGACAAGTGTTGAGAATTAGCAAGGTCTTGCTATAACACTAAAGGCAGTGCATCTGGTCTGTCCGATGTAACTGTCAATATCAAATAAATAAAACGTTCATGAAACAAAAATGTTAGCTACCGCAGTTTTAATTAGTTTTATCATTTGAGCTGAGTTGTGTTGGAAACTACTCTCCAACTGAAACACAACTCTACAACTTGAACACAATATTGTTTTGTACCCCCTACAGGTGCGTTACTGCCACTCTCTGACCGAGGAGGAGAAGCATGAGCTGCAGATGTTCAGCTCCCAGAGAAAGAGGGAGGCACTGGGCCGAGGAACACCCAAGATCCTGCCGCGAGCCCTCCAGCACACCCGCTGCGAACATGTAAGCGTCTCACAAACGCACACACAAATTACAAGCAAACTAACAGTGCTTTTAAACCTTTAGAAGAATCACAGCGAAGACGCAAACACACATATGCAATTAGTTATATCACAAACTGCCATCATCTTATTCCCAACTATGTCAACCCGAGGCAAAAATCGAGATTGGTTGAACACATGGTTTTTAATCATGGACATAAACTTTCTCATTAGGGTGAGAAAGGAAGCAGGCAAATTGGCAAGCTCATTGTCAAGCCAAGCGGAGACGCATTATTTAGTTCTAGTAAGGAATTTCCGGCCGCTCATCCACTTCCCAGCATGAGCAGATAGCAGAAGTGAGGGCTAACAAGGAATTGTTGTATATGGTTTTGTCACAGTATGTGTTTTTTTTTTTTTTTATCGATAATTGAATACAGATCCAGTCTTTAAGTATTATTGATTTATGGCTTAAAGCTGAGGTACCTAACTTTCAAACCACAGAAATGAAACTATGTAATAAAATCCATATGACTTGTTCCTCGCTTTCAAAACAGTTTGGTTCTATCCCTAGCGTTCACATGCATGTATTTTTGGCCTCTGTCACAGCTTTAGATTTTACACTGTATAATGTAAAGATGGTCATTATTTTGCTCTGTCCCTTTTTACATATTCCCAGCCAATCAGTTCTCAGCCCAAAGCGTCAAATAGTGACTCACAGGGTTGTGCAAAAGAGCACATATGTCTAGTAAGAAAAGCCTGACCTTAATTTTACAAGACTATGTTGAATGTGCTATTTAGTGGAAAAAAAAGTTGGGTAACCCAGCTTTATGGGACAATGTATCACTGCAACACAACATTTGTTTCTTTACAGTAAAGTTGTACAGAGCGAAAATGTCTGAGAAAAGTAATCTGTGGTTTTACTGAAAAACTGGAATTTATGGTTTGATGGCCGTCTGGATTTAAATTTGAGAGACTGATTACAAACTGCCCTGACAAATGCCACAATGGAAACTATTTGAAAAACCGAAACCCATGTCAACGTTTGATTAGTGACAGTGTCCAAAACATCACATCAAATACAATCTGGGAGTCTCTTGATCAGATCTTTGAAAACTTCCTTTCCAAGCTGAAACATAAATATTGGGTCTGTGGTGGTTTACTGTAAATATACCACATCCTTGACAAAGGATTCAGGAAGTAGACGCGAGTCGCATTAATACCTCCGGACAACTAAACTGCCGTCGGCCTACACACCAAAAGTATTGCAAGGTCACATTCACTAACCAACTGTGTGCCTGTGTAAATGTAGACATATATTTAGTGGCCATCTACAAATTCTTGGAGAACTTTAGATGACAATCTGTCAGTCAACAAATATTGAGAAATTTACTCACACTCCTGCGGTGTTAAAACGGATGTGCCGTAAAGACATGGGCATTCTGAGCACTACTGCACGTGTTCACACTGGGTTAGTCAGGATATACTTTCCTTACACTGTAAATCCCACAGACACACAACACCCTCATATCCAAGGCCCCTGTGTCCGCCCCGCAATAATGTGCAACAGCTGGCCAAGCAAGTAGCAGCTCCAAGCTGGTGGGCTGGGCCCAACACGCTCAGACATGCTGTGACAGGATCTGAGAAAATCATTTGGACATTATTACTCAATGACTAAAACATTAAAAAGGTACAGCCTTTCCAGTGTTATATTGTGACATTAGCACTTTTGAGTGCTAAGAACGTGACACTTTCTCCTGCAGGGTCAATAGGATAAGAGCCCTAAGTCCTTATGTATCAAGTTACCTGAACGTTACAGGTCTAGGATAACGACTTGTGCTTCTAGCAATACCATTCTGTTTTTGTTGCCTTAAAGAGATTAAATTGCATATTGCCTTCAGTATTATCTGTCAGCGTATGTCAGTCCTGACTGTTGATGTAGGATACAATGCTGCATTTCCAAAAGCTCATATTGCTTTGTGGCTTATAGCACTCTATTTAGACTTCTTTTGTTTCCAAACAACACCTGATATGTGCAATATTTTAAGAAGATAGCTTTATTATGTCCCAACTGTCTGCCGAGCGCTGCATTGTCTGGCTGCCATACTCAGCAGGTGTACTGAATATCAGATAATCCATTGGAGACTAGATTACTATTAGCTATTTTTTACTTTTATGAATAGTTGACTTATAATGTTTTTTGTCATTACAGTGTGGTGGAGGTATAAATGGGGGAGAGATGGCCATTTTTGCCTCAAGGGCTGGGCCAAGCCCATGCTGGCACCCATCATGCTTTGTGTGTGAAACTTGTCAAGAGCTTCTTGTGGATTTGATCTACTTCTATCAAAATGACAAGATCTTATGCGGAAGACATCATGCAGAACTTCTGAAACCAAGATGCTCTTCATGTGATGAGGTAAGAAGTTCTTGTCGCAAGTTGAACCATTGACAGTGTTGGTGTAAATGAAGTAACATCAAGCTTCATTCCCTCAGATCATCTTGGCTGACGAGTGCACTGAGGCAGAGGGCCGGCATTGGCACATGAAGCACTTTGCCTGTTTTGAGTGTGAAACAATTCTTGGTGGCCAGCGGTACATTATGAAAGATGGGCGACCTTACTGTTGCGGCTGCTTCGAGTCCCTATATGCAGAATATTGTGAAGCGTGTGGTGAAAATATAGGTGTGTTTGAGAATAGTTGTAGAAACATTGTCACATTAGAAACTCTAAAAGAACTGGCACTGAACCCCTTTCTCTGTCTTTGTAGGTGTGGACCATGCCCAGATGACATATGAGGGAGTGCACTGGCATGCCACAGATCAGTGCTTCTGTTGTGCCCAGTGCAAAACCTCTTTACTTGGTTGTCCATTCCTCCCCAAAGAAGGTCATATTTACTGCTCAAAGGCTTGCAGTCAAGGCGAAGACATTCATGCTTCTGATTCTTCAGACTCCGCCTTCCAATCGGCCCGTTCTCGCGAGTCCCGCCGCAGTGTGCGAATGGGAAAGAGCAGCCGGCCTGCTGAACAGTGGAGACAGTCAGAGCTCTTTCATACCAAAACTTCTGCTCCTGCTTTTGACTACAAGTTTCAAGAGGGGGATGGAACAGCAAACAGGGACATTGATATTGTGGGTCGTAAACTCTCTGGACTGGGGTTGGTCGAAGAGAGGTTTTGGAGGGATCGTGAAGAACAAGATGGCGGAGGTGAAGTAGATCCAGAGGAATGGGCTCAGCATGAAGACTACATGACCCAGCTCCTGCTTAAATTTGGTGACAGAGGATTACAACAACTTCAACAGCCATCCTTAAAATCCCCAACCCCAAGCACTCAGAGGACTAGGTTGAACAGCATCTCTGACCCTTGGCTAAAACCTGATGCTGCATCTTTGAGCATCAGTGCCTCATCCCCAACTCCTGCAAGTCCTACACAGAGCCAAACCTCTAACCAGTCGCGAGAGCTCAGTCCTGGACCTATGACCAAGAAGAATCTGCCTGAAATGTACTGGGCTCAGTCTCAAGACGGGATGGGGGATTCTGCATATGGGAGTCATCCAGGGCCTGCCAGTGCAAGGAAAATCCAAGAGCTGGAACTAGATGAAGAGCAGGACCAAAGTAGATCTGGAAAGGTGTTTTGGCCATCCTCCAGGCAGTGGTATGAAGACTCCCTGGAGTGCATTGCAGATGAGTTGCGGAAGGTTGAGCAGGGTGTCGGTGACTCCATGGATTCGCTAGCACTTTCCAACATTACTGGTAAGTACATTAGACTGTTTGCAAAATCTGCTTTGATCTGGACTAGACCATCTTTTTTATAATGCTTTCCTTCTTTCAGGTGCTTCTGGGGATGTAGAGGGAAGAGATAGACCAGTGCGATACTCATTTCAAGCCATCCAGGATAACTTACTGATGCCAGATGACTGTGAGAAGATGAGCAACATGGGAACCTTCAATTCTTCACATCTTCATCACAGCAATAACTCTTTGAACCTAAACCTGGAGAAAGTTACAGCAGATGAAGAGGTGGTGATGGCGATGAGAGGAGCCCTGTCACCTCGCTCTGAGGTCATATCTCCATTTATTCATGCTCCAGCACTGAGGAGGAGCAAGTCTCAGTCCAGACCCCCTCAGGTGGTGACCTTTTCAGAGGACACTGTGGACAATGGATACGAGTATGATGTAAACATTAGGAAAGCTCCCATGAGTGAGAGGCCTCAACGAAGGATGTATCGCAACGATGAAATGAACTGTCCCACTGGTCATCTTGGACGCAGTAAACAGCACAAACAAGGCCGGCACCACAGGAGCCGCAAAACCCGGTCTGATAACGCCCTTCACAAAGTGCCTATGGATAGAGCACAAAGGTACTTCGATCCTCAGCAGCAGAACATGGCCGACCACCGTCATGGGGGGTTGATGCAACAGCCCTCTAAAAGGCTGGCCATTCCCCAAACTCAGTCTGATTACGTACTTCAGGGGCTCTCTAAAGGAGACCCACGGACTGAGCGATTTATGGGACTTTACGGAGATGATGATGATTGGTGTTCTACATGCTCCTCTTCTTCAGACTCCGATTCTGAGGAAGAGGGATACTTCCTGGGGCAGCCAATCCCCCAGCCCCGTCCGGCTGGGAGGTACTACACAGAGGACTATCCTACAAGAGTAACAGCCCTGTCTCCCCAGAGCCACAGCTCACATAATTACAGGAGAAAGAGTCATCGCTCCAAAAACTGTATTATTTCCTAACAGCTTAGACAGCACTGCACTCTGAAGAAAAGGACAATTGTCTGAGAAACAGCCTTACACAGTTCTAATGTGTGTTTCTAATAAGCTTATTTGTGTTGTGTTGTTTGTATGTATAATGTGCATATCATTGTTGGTCCAGATCAACTGACGTGGAAATAGGATCTGGATGTTGTACATTTGTAAAGATAATGGGTTTTATTGAATTTTAGCACTATGGTCAAGTATTTTAGCCGTCTTGTCCCTGAACAGTTATGCACATATAGGCAAAGTGAAGACTTTCAATTCAGTATTTTATTCATCCAAAAATTGTGTCATGTAATTATATGTTATAGCAGTTTGTGTGAACTGTGTTTTAAGGCAATGCCATATTCCACAAAGATTCATTTTTTATATATATTATATAAACCAACCAATTATTTAATGAGTAACACCACCAACTGAAAGTATAATGGAAAGTAAAAATGTGAATGGTATTTCTTATGCCGGGTTGAAACACATAAGGAATGCGATGCCAATCACAGAGGTGCACAACAGACTTTTGCTTTTTAATGTTCTAATCAATGTTCATTTTTCACTTCTGTTGCTTTGCCATAAACTTTAATAGATTGAATATGTATGTAATATTTGTAATAAATATTTTTCGGAACTTGTGACGCTTATTTTTCTTATTTAAAAAAAAAAAAAAGATTGGTTCTCATACAAACTTTCAAATAAAACTATACACACTTTTTTACTTTTAACTTTTTATCCAAAAACACAAGCATTTTAAACAGATTAGCTTCAAGCAAAACAACATTGAAAAAAGAAAATTTAGTTTACTAACATACACAAAGTTTTTCTTTGATTCAAACCTCTGTATTTACCGGGTATGTCCAATAAATTCCACTAATGGTCGTTTTCAACAAGGACTCCTATATTGTTTATGATCAGTACATTGAACGCAGAAGGTTTCATCTCTGGAGCAGAGGGCGCATAGGTGAGTTGTTGAGGACGCATCACTGCAGAGACTCTAATGTGTTTAGATCGTTAGTGCCCAGTAAGGTTCATCTCCAGATCTGAAAGAAAGTACTAGCTTCGAAGTTTAGCTGGGTAAACTCCAGGTTGAAGAGCATGTTTGTAAAGGGCTTTAGTCTGTAGTCTGTAAACCATCCTAAATCCAATGTATCCAGGGATGTTTTGGAGCTCCTCTATCTTTTATGACAAATTATTATGAAAAACATTTTAGTTTTACAATAAATAAAACTACTACTACTACTTCGCCCCTGGCAACAGTACACCCATGCTGGATTTGCCTCAATCCCAGAACCATTTTGACAGATTTTGTTGACAGAATCCATTGAGATAACAAACTTTGTAGTAAAAAATAATAAAGAAAAAAAGTAAGAAGAGAAGAGTCTCAGAATGAAGAGCTGTGATTGAGTCCAGTCTTGTTGAGCTTATGGCTGGTAAGGGCTGCAGCCGTGGGCGTGGTTGAGTCACAGACCAAATGCTCGGGCTGTCGGACTGCCTCGTCCAGCTCGTGAATGAACTGTTTGAGGTCCTCCAGGCATCGCTCTCGGATCTCGCCCAGGTTTTCCCGAAGCGGGACTTGCAGCTGCTTTTCTAGGTTAGGGTCTTTAGAGACAAGCATCTTCACCACCATACCGAAGGTTTCACAGTCCTGCCGGTATACCTGGAGGAGCCAAAAGAATGCACCTTTAAATAAGACACACTGAAAATAATGACAGAAAATAAGTACAATTTACTGCACAAACAATCTCCCATGGAATGAGAAATCAATACTAGGGATGTAAATCGGCGACCGGTTAACCGGTGGTTGACCGTCACAGCGTTAACCGGTCAAAGCTGTCGATTAAAAAAGAGAAAAAGGGGAGAGGGGAGGTCTCTTAATAACGCTATTTTAAGCCCTATTTGCACGGTGTGACGAGCGGGTCCGTATCTAGCTGTGTGCGCCCATGTATTATAAACTCCGGGACGACTCTCACGCCGCACGAGCCACATATGCACACACGCACGCGCGCGCACACACACACACTTTCCCCCTCTCCATACGTAACATCCACACGCATCATCTCTCCCCTCTGTTACCGTCAAAGTTGCACACTGGCGCGGGTCAGAACTACATTGGAGCTTACATTTACACACACACACACACACATACACATACACATACACACACACATACATACACACATACATACACACATACATACACACACACATACATACACACACACATACATACACACACACATACCGGTCTGTCGCGCTCCTCTGTGTCACGGAGCCCAAAGGATTCGCGCAAATACGCGGCTCCAGTCAAACCACATGGAACATGTTTGTGTTTATGGTCCTCGGGATCAGCTCCACACACATCACTTGTATTTAAACTTTTGTGAAGACCTGTGAGACGCGGCTCGTCACTCGCTGCTCTGACCATGTGAACGAGCCGTCGTTTGCTGCTAGAAAGTTTTGGTATTAACCCGCAGCACAGCAGAATGGGAAGATTAAAAAAGCAGTTCTCTGTGCGCAAAGGTGCCGGAGCTGTTGCGGGTTTTGGCGCCGCTGTCTCGGCTCTGATCCAGTAGAACACAGAGCTGCACTTATGAAAAGTACGCGGCTCGAAATGGCTGTTATTTCAAAGAACGTGGACTATTTTAAACCACGCGGTTAACCGGTTTCAACCGGTTAATGAGGCTCGGTGGTCGGTCATGAAAATTCATAGTTTTTTACATCCCTAATTAATACCAACAGACTTGGAAAAAGGACTAAACTGCTTGATTCAATAGCAACTTCTTACCTAATGTACTACAAACCATGTTTAATTAATAACAATAATTGCATGCCTTACTATGTAAGTAAGTAAGTAAGCAACTTTTCTTTATATATTATTATTTTATGGACTTTGAGTCTGACAAATAAAGATAATATACAGGGCATTTTTACAGACCAGTCACCTAATTTGCTTTACAATGTTCATAGTTCAAATATTTTTCCATTCCCCCATCCATACACTCACTCATTACATTCATACCTATGGTACATGTTTTTTTAGTGGTAGGGGAAACCGGAGGAGCCGAAGGAAACCTACGCAGACACTGGGAGAACATGCAAACTCCACTCAGAAAGACCCTCGCCAGGATTTTGAACCCAGGACCTTCTTGCTGAGTGCTATTCACTCAACCACCGTGTCGCCCATTGGTATGTTTTTGCAAAGGACTTACATAATTGCTGTCTTTGCAAATGGATAATTGAGTCTATTAAAATTGCAATTTAAATGTTATTGACATTAATCGTGCATCCCTGCGAACAACCCAAAAAGCATAACATACAAACACTGGTGACTGACATGACAACTTGTTTCCTTCTAACATTACGACACCTGGTTGTGAGTACTCTGGTGTTGAGATGGGCAGTGTAGTACTAACGATAAACCGTACTCTTTTAGCAGATTTAACGAGGACTTTTAAATAGGACACTGTATAGGCCGAGCAGCAGTCATAAAATAGACAATGAGGAGTTGGTGGAGGCGTGCTTATTGGAGCTGCCATTTCACACAGGATCAAATGTCTAGTAAAATAAATGAGAAAGTCTTGTCCTCCTCGCAATGCACTTTGATTTGCAAATAAAAAAATGGAGAGAAACTCAGGTCTGAACAGATTGAAAACAGATGTGGCAATAATGAGCTGGTGTGGTTTTCTTAGAGTTATTTCTCCAGTTAAGACAGGACAAGGTGCACTTCTGACTTGAATGCAGTTGGTGTAATTAGAGTCATTTCTGTCATCAAACATAACATTTCAAATTGACTCAGGATGGCCGCAAACTTAAATTTCGGCTTTTTTTGGGACAGCTCTTGGATAGTTTGTCTATATATTATTCAACATTTGCCCTCAGCGCATTAGATTTGCCTTTTTTTAACAGACAGAGTATAATTTGAAATTGAAGAGTACCAGAAAAAGAATAACATAAAAATCCACATGCAACTTTTGGTGTCTATAGGAAAAGACCTTCTCCTAAAAATAACAATTGAAAAACTACATTTTCTTAAAAGCTGGATAACAATGTTATGTTGTGATGTTTCAAGTAAATATTTAAATCCATCCCATCTATCACAGTAAGAAAATAACAGAGGCAGCCAACCAGATCTCACCACAAAATGTAACAAGGAAAATGTCTAATAATCTCTCTAACTAAATAAATAATATAAAAACAATAAATAATTGTTTTTATTATTTGTATTATTATTTCTATTTTCTAATGTCTTGTTAATGCTTTTGAACAGTTTTTTTTGTTCAATTGCATGAATGTTTTAATGGATTTTAAGTGATTTTATTGCAAAGCACTTTGGTCACCTTTAGTGTTGTAAAGGGCTCTAAGAATAAAATGTGATTAATAGATTATTTCTATTCAATGAAAACATTTTTTTGATGGTTAGTGGTGCGTAGATTGCTGCTACATGGACTTCACAGGAGATTTACTGACATTGGTCGTTCGATATCAATTTAAGTTTTTGAAATAAATACTATTGGCCCCAAACTCCTCCTATTGGGCCAATATAGTATATTATACCAGATTTTAAAAAGGTAATTCTCTCCGGAAAACAACCCTGAAAATCGATTTTACTCCAAATATCAATCTCAAAACGTAATCAGTCTGCAGCCATCTTTACCCTTGGTGCAGTTTTGTTTCAATCCAAACTTAACAAATAATTTTGTCAGAAAAACTACAAAACAAAGAAAACCTAAAATAATTGAACCACAAATGTAAAAGATGAGCTACAAACAAAACTGGAACTAGCATATAATCTTCAGCCCCAAAACCACGTTTATTTTTTTCAACCTTCAGAATGAAAAAAATAATCAGCATCAGCCTCAGAAAACCCATATCGGTCCATCTCTAATCACTAATTGTCCCATAGTCCTTTTTACATGGCTTCCATACATCTGCTGATGGGTCCCTGCATGATCGGTGTGTGTTTAAGACTAGCAGAAGTGAGTTTCACAAGATTCCAACTCTAAACGCCAATGCTTCCAAATCCCAGTCATAATTGTAGCTTCTCCACCATGTTCCTTGTAAAGTGAGGATTGCGGTGATGGAGTAGGGATCGCAAATGAAGATCTGGTGTCACACATTTCAGCATGTTGCAACAATACTTTCCAACTTCAGCGCTGCCCAAAAGTACCACTGTAATGAATAATAATGATTAGAAAGTCGCCAGAGGAGATTAGCTCACTGGCTGCCACTGCGTTTGGGAAGTCTTTCCACTGAATGTCATGGCCAAAAACAAGCGGTATTTATAAACTGAACCCGAGTACAATACAATTATGGTGGCACTAAATGTGTAGTCTACAGGTCAGAAAGTGGCCCCAATGTAGAATCATTTTGTGGAGGCTTTCCGAGATAGAACGCAAACTCTTTACGTTCTAAAAATATTTGTATCTAAAGTAAGTATTCTATTTTTAATGGAATCAAAGTAGACCATAAACAAGCTGAAGTCCAAAAACACATCTATATGAACAATCCAAGGAGGAGGGTTCTGGGTTCGAATCCAGGTCGGAACAGGGCCTTTCTGAGTAGAGTTTGCATGTTCTCCTTGATGTCTATGAAAGTTTCTTTACTTTTCATAATTAAAAGGAATTAAAATGACATATAGTACCAAGTCTCACTTATGATTTAACTTTATGCCAACACCCAGACGCCAAAAGATTCTAATAGTTCATGGGAGGGTGGGTTAACCTTAATAGCCCCAAATTATATTGGTTTTCCATTTTGTAAAGTTTAAAATTTGTTATGCCTGTTGGTTTTAATCAATATTATTGCTTTCCGATACCTACAGGGACTTCCTTCCTGCCAAATTCATTTGAGTTTTATTATTGTTAATGCATTGCACAAAATCCGTTACATTTGAAATGACAGAAAACTACTCGTATCACAGCTCTGGCCTTGAGGAGCAAAAACATAATATCCTTCTTTGCCTCGTCACTCACTTTGGCTCAATGTCCTGTACCGCGGCCAAAGTCAACCTTGACAATGAGAGTGGTTTTAGGTTGAATTTCAGCGGCCAATTTCACTTAACTACACAAACAGGCGGGTGAAAGCAACCAGGCCCGGGCCCACTGATGATGGAAAGCCTCTCTGTGATCTAGGAGGACTGCGCGGGACGTCCAAGTGTGTCTTTAGTGCTACTAGGCTCAGTGTTCGGCTCTGTGAGTGTAGCAGAGGAGATGGCTAGACCAGATTGGAGCTCAACAACCCAAATATCTGGCTGACACCGCTCTGAGTGGCTCGAAATGAAAACGCACTGCCTGTGATAAATTAAAGAAAATGTCTTTGTAAATGGTCGAACTGGTGGAAAACAAAACTAAATCATACAACACCAGAACACAATTCAGAAAAACAGCAGGATTAAACACAAAAACAGCCAAATATTTCAAGCCAGGGTAAACTGTGGGTGCAAAGAAAAATAGTCCCTGGTTTTGTTCTCTTGGACATGTGAGATGATAAACGAGTGAAAAGCACTTTCGCATTTGAAAACGCTGGGTAAAAGAATGTATGCGCTAGCTCAGGACTAAAAATAATCAAATTCAGTGGATTCATGACTGAAACTATCACTGGTCTGGGTCGCAAAATAGCAAGAATACAGCTTCACTGTAAATTTACAAATAAAAAAGCCACAGAGAATTGTGTGTGTCAATCTCAGTAATATAACTTGACATGTGATGTACTTCTTGGAAAATCTCTATATTTTCCGATTTGATTTCAGTTAAGATCAGTGGAAAAGTAAAATACACAGTGAATCAGCCCAACTTTTAAATCCTTTCATTTTCCCGAAATAATTCACGCTCTCACTATGCTAAATTGTTGAAGTTGCATACAATTTCAATGAATTGGGTACAATTAATTTGAAGCTGTGAATAATTACAGCATATTTTTTGTTGAAAACTCAGTGGGGACCTGTGGTGTGGCTTACGCAGAGACTGAAAAGAGACACAGATGGGGCTATAAACCGAGCACGGCTGCAGTGTCAGCAGCACAGTTACTGCGAGCGGCCTATAGGCTTTAGGTGCTCTGTGGCGCAGCTCCATGAGAGGGCCCAGTGTGCGCTCCAGGGCAGAGCTGGCTCAGCTTTAATGGTCCCAGTAAAGCAGCGGTGGTGCTCACTGGTGCAGGAATGGCTTTCATTAGATAACTGCACAGAACTGAACCTATGGCCTGAGGTGGTTTTGCTCTGTTAAGTGCTCGACCTCCCAAATTTAAACACAAACCTATACTTATTCAAACTTGTCTGCTTTTACCCATTGTTCCTCCTCAAAGCGTTTGCGTGTTTCTTTACTGCCAGATATGCAACATCAAAACAGTTTTGTTCCCAATACATGGTAACAGAATATTAAAATATACCTACCACTGTGACTGATGCTCAGAAAACTTAATTTCCTGCCTCTCATGATTTCTGTAAGTGGCTTATCCAGTAAAAACCAATCCTTGTAAAATAATGCAAGTGCAAGTCAAAAAAGTCTAGGTGGAAAATATACCAGGGAACTGTATGCCAAACATGCACCAAAAACTGACATTTACAGAAAGTCATTACATATTAGGTCCATTTCATGAGGCAATGGTCCATATGAACCTTTCAATTTGAGACCAGTACTCAAATTCAGTATTGTCCTTTGACCACTTTCACTCTTCAATTTCAATTATGCAATAAAGATAATAGAAAACTTAAACTAGAATGTCATAAGATGAACTAGAATTAATCATATTAGTAAATTATTAATATAGGGATCGATTCCCCTCATCTGAATTCTAGTTGGCTTCACCTGTTAACTTAATTTGAAATGTCTTTGTTATTTAAAGACACACCGCCGCTGTAAAGAAAGTGCAGATAATTCAAAATCCAATCTATAAGTTTGATTATGACATGCAGGTTACTTTAAATGTTACTTTTAAATTTAATGTAAATATGAAACACTTATTGGGCCTATATTGGCTTATCTTGAATCTCCGTATAGTGCTTGTATTAGCTATGGCATCAGTTACCTTCTCAATCTCTTGGGCTTTCGCTGCGATGGCCACGGCTCGTCGCTCGTGGAAGCTCTCTGTGGGTTTTGGGACTTCTTCTTGGACTACGACAGGAGCGACCGGCGCTACTGGAACCACCATCTTCTCTTCTGGTTCGACCTCAGGCAGTTGGACCTCCTCCTGGAAAAGAGCAGCACACATACACATTTAGACACATTTAGACAAAAAAACCATTATGTCAACACTAAACATAAGTGAAGAACGATTCAATAAGCTATAAAAGATGCATCGTACCAATAGATTGCGTTAATGTGCTAGAATTGCATTTCACTTGGAGAGCAGGTGCCAATACAGGTTTTTTAAAGACATTTTTCAAAACGCTATTTCCCAGATCATTGTTTGAGAGTGATCAACATCAGGCATATGTTTTTTTTTTTTATATTGTCACCACAGTTGTTAGAGAAGGAAATGGAGAAATTCGCTCTAAACTAATACTAACTTTTGACCCTTATCAACAATTTGAAACTATAGAATCTTTGTGTTCCTGAGACATCATAAAACTCCAAATAATTACTGGTTGAGCAACACAACTAGTCAGCACACAAATACAGATGAAACATTTCGCTTTCCCCGGGATTACAATACGCACGGCTATAATGAAAATAACTTCGAGACATGATCTGATGGCATCAAAGAAAAACTCTTGCGCTTCTATGTTATGAATACAGAAAAACTTTCAACGGCCCTTTGATGATGTTGCGTGAAGTGACTTGACAATCGCAATCGGAGTTCAGAGATGGACACAAAGATGATCTAAGGGTTTACAGTCGGATGACAAAGCCGCGCACTGCAGAGAATGAAAAGGACACCGAAGATAAAACTAGGCCAACTAAAGCTCGCCAACACAGTGCGTACAAAAGCCTAGATTTGCCGAAGCATGGCTAAAGCCGAGAAGTACAAAGACTATATAATAACTTGCATTTACTCATTACATCTCCACGCGAATGTTGAAAGCAATTACTCAGAACAGCTCATACAACTCCGTCTTATTACAGCGATTCAGTCCCTGCAGATAAAGGTTCACAATGTACATTCTGAAATGTCTTTAGTCTGTTGCATTATTATTCTGTATCCGTTTCGTCCAATCTGTACTATGTTTGAATTTATGTTATCTCTGCAAGATTTATTATAACCATTATAACCATATGATAAAATATATGAAATAAAATGAAGTCAAAGAAAAATCATAAATTGTCCTGATTTCTCTCACATACTCACAGCATATGCATATGGAGGGACTTTCCATTGTGTTGTATATCCTGTTTTTTTTTTTCAATAGAGATAAAAAAAAAAATACAGAATAAAAAACCCTGTCCAAGTCTTGTACTTTACTTTCGCTACAGCTGCCACACTAAGACACAAAAGTCTCTCATCTTCCGAGTTTGCTGACCATTGTTCTTTATCTTTTCTCAAATCCATCCCTATGTGTTGTGGTCTTGGTCGCAGGGAGCTGTGTATTTTTCCAACTGATAACTCTCTGAAGACATTAACAGACAGATAAGGTTGTAGGGTCTTCCTCTTGTGATCAACGCCAAAAGAAGAGTCTTTTAAAAGGCAGTTATCTTTTGCTGACTTTAAACAAACATGAAAAAACCCTTCCTGAAGCTCCAGCATAAACTAGCTCTCTACTAAAACAGTATAGAGCTTTGAGAGACACAAGAACTGATGTGAATCTTACAATCCATCTATCTCATTTTATTAGTTTGTGGTCATTTAATTATCAGTTCTGCAGAAAGAGGGTTACTAAAAGTGGTTCTTATAAGTGGTTACTCCCAAGGCAAAACCTCCAATGTACAATACAAACAAATAAATAGATTATATTTATTCTCTAACTCAGCCATTCCCAAACTCAGTAACACCGAGGCCCCCTTAAAAATCTGACGGGTCTGCGTGGCCCCCCAAAATAATAACCAAGAAGACAACATTAAGAATAGGCTCTTCTGGTTATTTTATTTTGGGGAAATAGCCTCTGCTACAAACATTGTAATACAAAAATGATTACAGTGGCTTATTCAAGTCAAATAATGAACACAAATATTTTAATATTACAAACAAAACATTATACATTTAACATTAAATAATTATATATATATATTTTTTTTTTTATGACCTCCCGCGGCCCCCCTGCAGTACCCTCGCGGCCCACCAGGGGGCCGCGGACCCCACTTTGGGAGACACTGCTCTAACTACTAAAATATAAAGTTGGGACTGAGCTCACCCAAAATAACTAAAACAACCCTAGAACTAATCCTTCCATAAAAAAGGCAGGGGCCAAGACTTACTTTGACCTTTAAACTCACTTAACCTAATGCTCAACCCAAAAGCTCTCCTCTGCTCCAAAACCAGCTCCATGAACCCTGTGTCTGCTGATCGCCTCAGCGAGGGCACCATTAGTGAAAGCTCAAGCTCAGCTCTTTCATCTGCGCTGAGGTCATATTGGACCATGCCCCAGACCAGAGTCATCCAATGTAGCACCGGAAATACAAAAAACTAGACGGTAGTGCACAGAGGGGTGGGGCAGGTCTTAATCTTTGATTTTGTGAAGGGCATTCCTTGGTTTATAAGTTTCAACCCTCTTGCTTGTAAAGCTGCTTTGCTAGCATGTTAAACCGCAATGTCATATCTCCAGATCATGAGCTTGGCTTGGTCAAACTCAGAATGTGCCTTCTGTGAGACGGAAAACCAAACGATTCTTGTATTAACTAAATTCACTACATCTTGAAAGTACACACTTTGGATCAGGAAAGGAAATGAGTAGTTCACTGATTGGGTCTAACTGACCAAAGCACATGCTGACAGGATCCCTCAGGAGGCAGCGATTTGTGGCTGAGATCGAATGATAACGTGTAGACTTTGGTTACAGACCCTGCTCTCTCCTGGGTGGTCATAACCCAACCAACAGCATCTAATCACATATGATGCCATTCCCACTTGGTATAGGCACAGAGATCATATCAGGGCAACAAGGGCCGTACTGCATGACAGGTGGCGGAGGCCTGTGTGTTTCTAAAGGAGCACTTTTGAGGGGACAACTTTGTCGACATTTGATCTGTTTGGACTTCATTAAAAGCTTCAGTGATTGAAATGTGCTTACACCACAAGTAAACAAAGCACAGGCTACATGGCTTTCAAGCTACGCAAGAGTGCCACTTTAAAAGCCATTAACATACTCCAATGCAACTAAACGCTTATTAAAAGGATGGCCCCTAAGAAGTTCCAGATGATTTTGGCTGTACAGTGACTAGCCGTGTTTTAAGTTTACACTTAGATATCTTTACAAACTTTACAAATATGGTGGCAGGGAGCATCACTGCGCTTTTCATTGTATGTGCTCAGCAAAAATTAAATGAACATGAATGATCCTGCAACTTTGGAGACGTTTGATCAGTGAAACGTGTGAGGCCTAAACACATAATTTGTCATTGTCAACTATAAAGTTGAAGTCTATGACTTTAGAAATAAATTCAACACTGTCACTTTCTAGTTTAATTGTTGAGATTTCAAACTCTTTAGAGACTATATATAATTATTTAGTTTTATTAAGGTCAAAGGTTTTTTTTCTGTGATTATATTGTGGTGCAATTGTCCAAGACAAATTTCCCTCAATGTACAATAAAGATGACTATTTTATAAAATAAAGAAGTTTGACCACTCCTGTATGAAACATTTAAGAAACCTTTTTGGGATTTTGGATACATGTGCGTCACACAGGAAATTTGGCACAAATTCAGTTATCTGCTGTGGAAATTTGTGTAATGTATTTTACATTACAAAAACAAAGTGTCATCACAAACACAAGTGTGTGTTATGCAGATAAGACATTTATGTAGATGAGACCATAACAAAAAACAATAACTCTACAAACCTTGCATGGAGATGCACTACGTGGTGAGCCTTCCCTCGAGAGTCCAGGAATTTTGTCTAAAAAGAAAAAGACAAATAAGACTTGAGTGCATTTTTCAAGAAATTAAAGTAATAGTAAGGAGGCCAAAGGTGTCTGGTTGAAAGGGAAAGTATAGGGGAAAGTTGATTGGTTCCAAAATCCAGACAGGTACCTGAAGCTGGAACAACCACAGAGAGGGCTAGTACCACCTGCCGTGCCGGACCACCCCGACACCAGGGCAATTATTGGGATCATTACACTCACTGGGGCTCACCCACGCACACTCTGCATTTTACATTTACTATTTAGTTGTTTATAAACAATAAAAAAATATTCCTATAAATTTGGAAAACATAAAAAAGATGTAACTCTTTAATTTTTAATAGCGTAAACATATATTTATTTTTTTATAAAAAAAAAAGAAAAAAAAAAGGTACCTATCTCAGAGAAGTTTTCAAAAGAAAACTTTCAAAAATGTTTTATAACTTCCACAACTTTTAAAAGGTCAGTCACAAGGTGATTTTAGAGACAATCAAAATATTTATCATTTTACTTTTGTTTTGTGTCAGTAACTGGAAAAGTGAGAGTATTGTTTCTAACCCTAACAAGATGATTTCACTCAACGTCAAATTTCCTGAGTGGAATCTAAAGCACTGTAGTGAGTAGACTCATTGTCTAGGAACAAATGATCTCTTAGGACCAGGGCACAGAAGACAAAGCACAACAATTTCAACAATTTAACTTGAGGAATATCCATCAGACACCCTACACCTTAGCTCCACGCGGCAAAGTGGCATTTTTATGAAGCTTGACAAAGTAGCAGTGGTCGTCCAGCGCGTTAGAGACGCTCTCTGATTGCCTCTGGTTACCAGCTCTGTGTAAAGGTTACATTTAAGGATGATGAGATTACACTATTGCTTAGTCGAGTCTGTTAATGAAACGCAGTGAAGGACGGACGACATACACATACATTGCAACAATCTATGCAACTAAAACATATTCTGTGGGGGAGGTTTGTGGGCTGGAATGCTGTACGTCTAGTCTCTCCGAGCAAGATGGATGACCTTGGAAATGCTTGGCCTGGATTATTCTAAATTAGCATAGTCTTTTGAATATTTTTTCATTGTCGTTTTCATATTTTCTATTTTTACTGTTTATTTGTCCTCAGTGAATGTTGATTGTCTTGCTATGTGATGCTTATCTGAAAATCTTATCTGCAAAGATTGGGCCGACTGCATTATTTGATGTAGCCCTCTGCCTACAGTGCGTCATCCAGCCAACTTAATCTCTCCCAATAGGCATGATGTACCTTGTTGTTAAGCCCTTAAGAACTTGTTTTTTTGTAGTACAGAATTATGTCTATGGTGCAAATGTAGCGAGTGAGGAATGAAATATGTGTCATTCAGCCAACTAAAGTTATGTTCAGGAGTACAGAACACACCAGTCTTAAAATTTGTGTTGTCGGCCCTAGAACAATTGTAGTGAACTAAAGTATCCCTCTAGATAGATAGCCATAGAATCCTACCACAAATTTCCAACGAGAACTCTGTATATTATTGCTTAAAAAGGGATGTATGTGCATTTTAAATAGATTTGTGTTTTTGTCTAAATATCAACATGCCCACACACTGCCCATGCATACAGCTGCTATCACAGATTTAAAGTGGTTAAATGGTTACTGAGAACCTTCCTACGTCACAGTTATCCCCCATCTTGGACTCACCTTTAGGATTAATATATAGTTCTACGCGTGACACACACAAGCAATGGGAGTTACAATGGTACAATAAGGACAAAAATAATTAAAAGCTACTTCTACCGAGGTTGAGCCATATAATTGTTCAATGTACCGACCCAATGTTTCCTGTCCACTCTGTTGAGAGTAGAGCGCACCCCAAAGGTATTCAGATAGACCCGCATGCGCTTCTGTAGAGTCCATACCTGAAAAGCCAATGAGTCAGATGGTCAGTTCTTATAATAAAACAAGTGAATAAATGAATATTATAGATTGGCGAAAGGTACGAGTAACAATCATAAAGCCTACAGATATATTTGAATAGCCAACATCTAGAAGTCAATGTTGGAGAGTAATTCAAGACATGTACTGGCAACGTATACTCTGAATAATATTTTTGAGTAATTGTATATTTTTTAAATTATGTTTGGGAGTGTTAAATCATTTTCCATTTAAAGGGAGTCACATTACACAAACTCAACTTTTTGGAGCTTTTAACCGTGTTAAAACATTGTTCCCTCATCAAAAACAGACCTAGAGTTGCTTTTAGATACATCCATGCTAATATCAAGAACCTCTGTCTTCTGTTTAAAAGCTTTTGCCTCAGTCCTGTATGATACAACCAAAGTAGTACACACTCTGTTGGTAGCATAGAGGTATAGCAGGCTGATAGCATTATTTACCCTTGATACTTGTTTCACCATATATTTTCTATTGAAGATATTATTTCACATTATAAAACATTAAATTAAAGCAAGCATGTTTTGAATATATTGTGTAACCAAGACATATTAAAAGTATTCTCCTCAACACTGACTGAAGCCAGTGAAATGATGAGTGGTCATATTTGAAACAAACCACCTCTCGGGGTCACTTTTAGAAGCAACAGTTGCAGAAATGGGTTTGAACATACTCTTGTTCTGCGCCGCGGGGAAGGGAAGGTTCTTGGCTCGCTCCGGTGAGTAGCCCCGGCTGCTGACGCTGGAGCCAGAGCGACTGTGGGGGGAGCGGGCCAACTCTCTGCGCACCGGGGAGCGCTCTCTGAAGGGGGCAGGGAATGGAGCCGCTTTCCTCCTGAAGCACAAGCAAAGGATGATTCAAAAACAGTCAACAAATCTATGCAAAGATTGTATAAGGGATCTCATTTGCTCTCAGAAATCGCTATTGCATGGACTGATTCTGTGTAGCGAGTCATTCAAATGCATTCTGATTTGATCTGGTTCTGTACCATGGTGTTCGTTCGTCTCTCCGGTATTAGGGATAAACACTCAATAAAACACTAATGTGACTGGATGATTTCTGTTATGTGAAAAAAAAAAAACCTCATGCACCACTGAATACACACATGAGGCCTGTTCTACTCTAACCCAAGTGAGGGGGAATAAGATAAGACAACCTTGATTTCTTCCACAGTGGAAAAATGTCAGTGTTGCAGGGCACACAAGGAACACATACATAGAAAAGTAGCTGTGAATGCATAATAGGTGCAAAAAAAACATAATAAAACCATAATGCACATGATTGCTTTACTTTTTTACAGATGAGATGACATGTACAGACTCAGCAGTTCTCATTGTACAGTTTGACTAATTAGGTAAGCCAAAGCAGAAGGGGAACATAGTTTTAACCAATGTCTTATGTCCACTATTTGGAGTGGGACCTTTATATCAGTAACAACTTAATAAACTATAGGTATTTAATTACTTGATTTGCCTTTACATATTCAAACTATGACACAATTATGTAGATTTGTGAAAGCAAAAGAGCAATCTATGTTTCAAAAAGGAAGAATATATGAAGAATGAAGTGTTTGAATCCTCGATCAATGTGACCACACTGTTCAAATATAGCTCAATGCTGCCATCTAGCAATTTAAAGAATGCTGCATGTATTTTACATTTTTGCATACAAATAGAAATCCATAACTAAATATTTTAATAAAAAATGTATTCAATGTTGTTACCC